TCATTTTTATAAATTGTGAAAACGGGCAAGTGATCACTTAAATCAGTAATCAAAATGCCACCCATTACCTCTGTGTTTGTTATATTTGTAAAACTATTATCAATTATTGTAGCACTGTGAGTTGTGATTCTTGTAGGTTTAGATATCAATGGATAGAGATTCAAACTATACATTGAATTTATAAAAGTACCAATATTATTTGAGTTTGTTTTATTACCCAGACCAATGTTAACGTCTCCACATAAGAAAATTGTTTTATTTGAAGACCTTTCCAGTAGTTCCATAATTTGATCTGTGAATACATCTGCACTTGAGTCAGGTGATTGATATACACAACTTATTATTATGTTTTTGGAATTCACATTTATTATTTCAACTGTAATTGTTTCCATAATACCATCTATACTAATTGACATTTTACTTATTATTTTACATTTTATTCCCTTATCAACAAAAAGAGCCACCCCTCCACCTCTTCCATTGTTTCTATTCCCATAATACAGTTCATATCCCTCAATGTAAACACAGTCCAAGTTATCCTCATTCATCCGTGTTTCTGAGAGGGCTATAATACTAAAATTTATGGTTAACTGTTTCAAATAATCTGCTACATTAGATAAATTGGCATTTATACTTCTGCTATTAATGTGAATAAGATCACCACCCGTCATTTAAATATTAAAATGCTCTTTATTGTAATATTCACAGTCTTTATTTACCAGAAATTTTTTTGAATCAATCACCCCATTTATATCATATATTTTAGATTCTGAATATGTGTTCGTATTTTAGTGTATTTTTCCATTTGTCTGTATCTTTTACTTATTCCTTTTTGTACTAAATCATTTTTGTCTTTTAATTTTGTTTATTTGTCCCCTCCTGACCTCATCTAAATCCTTCCAAGTCTTCCAACTCCTTTACCATTTTAGCCTGTGATCCCTCCCTTACTCTGATCCAGATATTTCCGTTTCTTGTCCAGGTCACTATTATTTTTTTCTGTTTTTTTAACATTCTTGCTTCACAAACGACTTTTCCATTTTTTTTTCCGTTAAATGTTCATTTGTGTAAACATTTGTTTCTTTCAGTTTTTTAGCTTGCATTATTAAATTATTTCTTGCTTTTCTACTGATGAATCTAATAACTATTGCTGGTTTAAGTTTATCTGCTCTATTTGGTAAAGTGTGACAAATGGAAATGTCTTCAGGTTGAACCTGAATGTCTCTGCCCTGCAAAAAGGTCAGTACTTGATGCTCCAATGTTTTTAGCTCTTCTCGTGAAGAATCCTCTGTGGTGATTGTGTTTGTTGTAGCCTGTGCATAGGGTCTGTGTTTAATTTCAAGTCCAGTAATTACCAAGTCATCTCTTYGTGTGYATTGTTCCAGATCATCTACTTTTTCTCAAGTTCAGCTATTTTTGTCTCTGAATGTAATTGCAATCTTCAGTAGTTTAACTTCCTCAACTAGACCGATCAAAAGTTGTTGCTGTGATGCCAGCTTTGAGATCTCAGCACTCATAAAGTTCAGTGACCTTTTAATTTCCTTTTTTGTCCACAGTGTTCTCCAAAGGGTCCGATCCCCGTCCCTGCCCGTCACGTTTCAGCATGGCCCACACAAAAGAGCCTGGCGATAGTTTCTCCCGGGCCCGATGTTAATAATCCTAGCCCATGGGTTTTCTTACCAGCTAGCCGCTCTCTTCCACCGTCAGCTCGCCAAAATAGCCGCAGTCCGCTGATCGCTCTCTGGCTAGCTGCTCCGCTTCAGGCCTCTCCTCTCCACCAGAGCAGTTTTCCCAGCTCCACTCTCCCCCAGTCGACTTTCAGGTGGAAGCTTKGAGGCGAAGCCGCTTATTGTTTCATTCAAACCACGTGTTTACGGCTTTCCTCGCCCAGTGGGGCAGAGCCTCAGTCGACGTAAGCATCCAGGAAGAATTTAGTCCACAGCTCAAGGCCATGTAGGGGAGTTGGCAGACAATTTTAAAGACTATTTTAAAGGTGACGCTGAGGTTGACTTTTTTTAATTATTCCTTTTTACAGATAATCTGATAAATAAAATAAATACATTTACTTTTTAATACAAAGAAAAAATAATGATATGAAACACTGATTTCTGATTAAGTTAATAATTAACTAAATCTGCAGTTTGACAGCTGCACTTCGTAAGACTTCTTGAAATAAAGAAAACTTTTCAGGTTAACAAGATTAATTGTCCAACATATTCTGATCTTGTTTAGTTTATGGGTCTCAAAACAAGGTCAAAATACATTTTAGCTGATATAAGACTGTAAAACTTGGCCAGAGGAACATTTATCTGCAGTAAAGTGACTCTACTGCTCAAAAACATTCACAGACCAGAAGCACTCGGAGAGTTCAAACCTCCACCAAGACCAGTTTCCTCCATCCTGTAAGAGTTAATGCACAACAGCAGAGATGAAACACATTTGCTGAATAAGTTCTGACGTAGTGAACATTTAAGCAGCAGTATGCACGGGGTTTCTTCTCTGTGGAGTCCAATGTGAAAAAAAAATAAAGTCAGACTGGTCACCTGACGTTATTCATGGTCAAACTGGTGTGGGATTAAGCTCCTAAGTTTTCATCAGTCACATTTCACCATGTAAAACGTCTGTTTTATCTCCTTGTATGAGTTTGTAATGGTTTGACTCTCTTTATAAATTGCTTCCTGGTACAGTCGGCTCATGAAGCGAGTGGGTCAGCGCGACAAATATTATCTCGCCGCTGGTCTCATTTAAATAATAAAAATGAAGAAACAAACAAGAACAAACAAACAAACAAACAAACAACCTCCGAGTCTGGAGTGCACCGCACCTGAGCGCGTCAGTCCTCTTCCTCGTTCTTCATCGATCTGAGTACAAGCCTACCGACAATGTGGTGTGTTTGAGGAAATGGGGAAAATAGGTTTTATGTTGCAGTCGTACACTTCCTGGTCACAAAACATTGTCTAAATGCGCATCAAATGCGTAAAAATGTGCACATTATGGCAAGACTTATTCATCATTACATTTGGTTTTAACATTACTTTTATAAAGTCCGTGCTGTGTAATCCAGTTCAAATGACCACTGAACGCTCTCACTGTTTTTTACAGAAGCCCTGTGAAAGCATCACAGCTTTGCCGATCTCAGACGATTAACAGGAAAAAAATTCCTGTATCCGCATCGTGATCCGGAACATCACCAAAATTTAATGATGTGTTACTTGGCCCAGTACACACGTGATGTAAATGTCAWGACAATATGTACACAAGTTTTTGAGTAATGTTGTCCACAGTCAGGTTGACCAACAGACCGAGCGACATACGCGACCGAAAACATTACCTCGCCGTTGGCGGAGGTAACTAAACAAGCTTCACTTTAAACCTGGTCAGGACCAGGTTAGTTTCAGAGCACTTGTTATATTGTCCCATACAACCGATTCAAGACTTAATTAATTCAGGTTTACACCAAAATTCCAGCTTAATCCTTTATCCTAGACTCGAGCAACAGGCCTCAGGTCAGGCTATTGTTGACCTGACGGTAGTATCTACACATCTCTCCTTTTATAAGGTTATTGAAATGTTGTACATTGTCTCTGTGTAAAATAAATAAATAGTAAACAGTAAACCAAAACAAAAGTGATGGGAACATTGAAGAAAATATGGACAATGGATATCCACTGCCACATAATTTTTGTCACTGAACTCAGCACTCCTTTTTTGTTCATTTTGTTTCCAAAAACGCCTTTGAATGAAAAAAGGTTTATAATGCAGCTTAGAGGRTTTTGTTTTGCTTCTTTTAAGTCTGAGATATTCCATAGTTAGGATTTTGTTTTTAATGTGATTATGAATACAATAGGGTGCATGGGTAATTGTTTTATATTGTATACCAGCCATTTGAATCATACTAAAAAAGATTTTAAAAAATCCACCTTTCCATGGGTTCAGCGTTCACAAGCATTGCCGTGAACTTTGCGGATGTGAAGCATTTAGTAAGATTGCAATAGAAAATGTGCCCAATATTTTACCACTTTGTATCACCAAGTAGTCCTCAACAGTCACAACCCTGTGAGATTACTATACCTTAAGACCTCTAGTGAAGACTGTGAAGAATGCAACCTTGCTCTGAAGCTCCTAAATTTTACACGTTTGCACCCACCTGATCTTGACTCATTTTCAGAACATGCAGGGGAAGAGTGCCTCTTGCTGCCAGGTCAGGCAGGTGGCGCTTACGAGAGTAGTAGTCCTCAACCTCTTTATCTGCTGCAGAAAGACAGAGAATTGAAAAAGATCAGACAAAAACACAACAGGAGGTGAAGAGGAGGTTCGTTTGRAAGGGATGGAGTGGGGGATTGGATCAAGTGGAAAACACTGCACACAAAACAGAGAGAAGTGCCAGTGGAGCCATCTGGGTTTCACCTTTGAGGGGAATAGAAAACAGTGGCAAAGTGTCACAATTTACATGCTTGGCACAAAACATTCAGATATCCAGACTTTATCTGTGATTCTACAGGCAGAACTGGCTGTGGGAGCAAACTTTTCAAAGTTTGTGAAAAACAAAGAAAAACAACCAGACATAGAGGAAGACATACACGGACACATGCTGGAAAGCTAATGTTGCGTAATCTGGYCATCCTTGACAGCTGCAAGTGCTTTAACATCAATGAGTGGTTGTGTTGYCCTCCCTCATGTTTGCTAACAGGAGTACATGCAACCAGAGGCAGATCAAGAAGACAGGAAAACACCTCCTGACAAAACAGAGTGGAACAGGAAGTGCACAAAGTCATGCCACAGAACATGTAACACATGCAGAAAGACTGCTCGGTGTATTCACACACACATGGTAGCATACATTTATAAAACTTTACCAGACATCTTGTCTAAAAGTCTGAATGAAAGTCTGTGAATGTCGGAGGCATGGCATTATTAACCATYGGACTGAATTAGAGGAGATCGCAAGGGGAAATAAAATACACAGAACGCTCCAACTTGAGAAAGTCCTTGACGMCTTTTTGCGACTGATCCTGTCTTTWATAAAGCTCATAACACCTGTGCATATTTCATTAACGCGACATCCCCTCTGGCAGGCCATGGGTGCTTTCTACAAACCAATTCATTATGAGAGATAACAAAAACAAGATGTTCATTCACCGTGTTACCACAGAGTGAATGAATAACTCGTCATACTGTCCTGCGTCGCAACAGTTTAAATGGTTTCTGTTCAGTCGGATAGCAATTTGCATTAATAAGCAGCAGCATTATTCTCTTTTATTATCTGAACAATGAAACAATGAAACTGCTCCTCTATCTTTCCTCTTCCACAATCCAAAATGATCTGTCAGTGTGCACACACACACTGAGCAACACAAAAAGGCAGCATAGCCTTTTGGCTATTTTCTACAACAAATAATTTGCTTTGGAAGCAGAAAGGAAGTTGGTACGACTGAAGGATATTTGGGTTTTAACACTCTCTCTGGTGGGTTTTTATACTATGACAACTGAATTCATTTAGCTTTAGTTTAATACTAAAAAAAATGTTATCTTCATTCTTGCAAGCTTTGTTATAGAAAGACAAATTCAGCTGCATCTTTCAAATCTGTTTGACTGCATACAGTCAGGAAAAATGAAGTCCACTCTGTRATTCTAGGGTCTTACATATCAGGACATATTACAAATGATCTGGACTATCCCAGATTGTAAAATTATTTAAATCTGACCTTAAGTTGACAGCAGATGTCCGATGTTATTATGTATTAAGTACAACAAAAATAAGGTCCACCCTTTCTGTTCCAATGGGATTCAGTGGTTCTGTATCGACCAAGCTCTTCATTAAATCTATTCATTATCTTCAGTGTGACCACCTTTATAAATACAGATGTTAGTGGCATTTTGTAGCTCTGAAGCATATAGGTGTGTTCACATGAGGCTAAATAGGAAAGACATCAGAGCTCAGAGGAGTGACGGCTGATGCCCATCAATCTTAAAAGAGTTAAAACTTATTTTCAAGTAGTTRGAGTTCATTGTTCTGCAGTGAAAATATTATTTACAAATAGAAAACATTTACTGGAACATCTAGTCTTCCCAGAAGTGGATGTCCCASAAAATGTTCCCCAAGGTCAGAAGGTGCAATAATCAAAGAAATAACAAAAAGKGGGGGGTTAATATCAGACATTCCAGGCCTCAGTTAGCAGGTTGTAGTTTAAAAGATCATGTTAGGAGGATTAAAAAAAGACTTAACAAGTATGGCTTGTATGTATAACAAGTTTAACAGATACAAGCCTTTTCTTTTTAAAAGAGCATGGCAGAACATTAAATTAGCTAAGCTGTATCTGAATAAATAACATTCTCACTCCTGACTCGTCAACATATTGACGCTTTTCCAAAGTTCCCACTGGGTCTTAATTTGACGTGTCAGGTGACCCCCTCGCGTCAGTCTTTGACGCCCGCGGCTTCTCCAGGTTGCACCACCACCACGTCTTTGTGTCGGGGGTCTGAGGTTAACATGAGGTATCAGGATTAATGGTTAAGTTTAGGTAGTGGGGTCAGAGATAGGATGTCTACAGAGAATATTAGGTAATTTTAGGCTTTGGAACACGTAGTTCACGTGAATTTCCTACATTTTCTAAAAAATGGTTAATTTTAGGTACTAGGGTCAGGGACAGGATGTCTAAAGTGAATAAAGGTAATTTTAGGCTTTGGGACGGTAGTTTTTGTGCATTTTCTACACTTTCAGAGTTTATGACAACAGTTTCCACCCCATCTCGTCAAAAAAAAAAAAAAAAAACGCAAGGGGAATACCTGATGTGTCAAAATCGGACGCAGAGGGAACTTTGGAAAAGCGTCAATATGTGACGACTCGGGAGTGAAAATGGGTTGGAAYGAACCACAAGACTTCTGGAATAATATTATTTGAACAAATAAAGGTTTGGATAAACTTTAACAAGATGTAAGAGGTTGGATCTTGCTGACATAATTGTAAATGGTCTCTTTCTCATGGAGTATTCATTGTCAAAGACAAACTGTGGGGAAGAAGTCCTCYCAGCATACGTCCATGTCTCTGCAACTCGTAGAAGTAGCCACTACACAGCAACAAACCAGTTAATAAAGTGATTGTATATTTTCAGCTGATGATGGATGAGTTGGAGGAAGAGTTGGTATTTCTGCTGTTAACCAAGGAGAAATTACATTTTGCATATTTAGAATGAGGACACTTTCATCATTTCCAACATACAGTGCGAGAACTTGTCATGCTTTCACATAGGCCTATATCTTTTTTAATTTGTTTTTGTTTAATAATTTCTGTAATGTTTTGTGTATTTTTCTACACTTGAGGTTAGATTTGAAACAAGGAAGATAATTAGGTAAAAAAAAAAAAATTCTTGTGTCCCAACATGTAAAACCTTGGAACTAAGCCACAGTTGACTTTTTTCCATCACTGTATTTGTCCTGTAATGTTGTCTGGCTTCTGCAATGTAGAGAAAACTGATGGAACAAGTTGGAGATTTTCATCTTTCACTTTGATTGCATGTCAGCAGTGAACTTGGCCAGTCATAAGATTACACAAGCCTTAARAACTATTTAAACTCAGAACAGATGTGTTAATCTCAACACAAACTCAGTCAAAACCCACTATAATGTGTCTATATAAGGACGACACATTTTGTGTTCAGTTTGACACATTTACTGTGCTGATTGTGTCCAGTTGTTTRAATAGAACAACACAAGATGTGTTTAGTTGATGCTAACATAGAAAAGGTGTTAACAATAACACATTTGTTTTGAGCATTTCRCTTGCAGAAATATGAGGTGAATCCTCATTACGCAGCAGAAATCCAGAGGAGCATCATGAAATCAATATCAAGCTAGGCTGGGCGAAAAAAAACACCTAATGCACTGACACAGTTCATGACAAATACTAGCTGTGTTCTTTAAGTAGAAACAAAAAAGKCTGAAATATCATTGTCTCATTGGTTCTTTTAGATGACTCAAGTGGTTTTATGATATATAGGGGCTGAGAAATGGAAACGTTTTGATTTTGATTCAAAGTGTTCTTGATCTACTCATGTTTACTCAAATGGGAGCCTTCAGATTTTTCCGGAAGACATCAGGGGATTCTGATGTTATCAGTCCATGAAATGGATGTTATTAAGCGTTATCAGTCCCATACAATGGCTTCAGAATGTCCCTACTGTGCCTTCTAGCCTTCATACTATGCCGACAGTGCCTCCTAGTGGGTTAATGTATCAATTACAATGAATGTGTTTAAATAGCCAAAACATATTTTAATAAATTGTTTGCCCTGTCTGAACCCTGGTCTTCCACTCTCTGGTCCAACGCTCTACCCATTGCCCCATTGGAAGACCACAATATACAACCGTTGGGGGGCTGTGTCTTTAGCGTTAACCATGTCATTTTCTCTAAAGTTAACCTTAGTGGTTTTATGTCTCATATTAACCAGACAGTGGTTTTATGC